ACCGATACGACAAACGCTCTCTACTCGCTGATTTGGAGGTTAACTCCAAGTTGACGATAAAGCATTCCGGTTAAGCTTGAATGCAGAAGAATGCGAGGAACAGGAAAGCGGAAGTCACCATTTCAAAGCAAAGCGATTTCCGTCCGTTTTCTTCGTCCCCACATTCTTCTGCATTTCAGCTTTAACGGAATCCTTTAGTGCGTTCGGGAAATAAAAAGCGCGGTTTACCTTTTTTTCAGATTCACTTATCACACGTTAACAGGTTAGCGGCGTAAAGCGCACGCTTTACTTGTTGAGTCATCTTCTGTGCTTTTAGCAAGCAGCGCCATTTGTCTGACCAGCCAGAACAGAGGTGGCCGTGTAACCTTTTCGGGCTGAGATATCGGGAAAAGTGACGATGGCTCCGTTAAACCATCAATTCAGGTGAATCTTAGCACAAAGATAGATTAAAGGACTTTGTGAAGAGTTTGTTCGGGCGGCATGGGTAACTAACCTCGAAATAGTCGATGGCTTCTCCCCGTCCAAACATGGCGAGATGGCGGAAGGGCGAGTTGGAGCGATGAAATGTTGTTCACAAATTACTTTCTATTTTCACGCAATAAAAATTGAAACACTTCGTCAACACTTAGTGACGGAAAACGACCGAAAACGCGACGAGCCGAACGTACGGCTGTAGCACGGCGGCGTGCCCCGGTGATCCCGTCGGTCACTTGCTGCCCGGCGTCGGGTCGGACGCAGACTAGACTGGAAAATGAATGAGGTGACTCCGGACTTCGCCGCCAGATGGCGCACGGTTCGACCAAGTGAGGAGCGGGGAATATGCTCCTTCCGCACAAACCAAGTGCATTGGCAAAGACGTTTTCAAATTTTGAAGGGTTGATGTGAGTCAGAGATATGTTGTTTTGATCAGAGCACTACAAAAATTGCTGCGAAACTAATTTTCGAGCAATTATCACCATTGGAAAGATAACTGAGGTCAAAGTTAAAACGAACGCTTGCTTCTAAAACGCCTCATGTTGCAGTCTCTGTGCGTTGGCAAGCCTGCGCATGAGAACGGCATCGTAGAACTGAGGTATATTTCGTACGCGCGAGGAGCGGCGTCGAGTAAATGGGCAAAATGGGTACAACAAAAACTAAGGAGGAAAGAAGTTGAAAATTACTTCCCCATGATAATTAATTGCCAACATAACAAAATCACAAATCAACGGAAACGCACATCGCTTCCGCGACCAGGGATCAGCCTCTTTGTCTATAACAATGCCTAGTTAATAACAATACTTTGTCGGGCGCAGAGACAGGGCTGTGGCGGGGGGGGGGGGGGGGGGGGGACTTCTAACATTTCTTCGCCGTGACTCATCGTCAAAGCGCCTGTTCCTTCGTCCCCCTTGTCCTTATCCCCGGCGGACACGGCTGTGCTCAGCGCCAGCGACAGATCGCGCGAGTCGCTTGAAGCGCTTCGGAGCTGGCGCGGGGTAGATGTACTCGAGGCTTTCCCAGTCCTCGACGTCGACACGAAGGGGAAAATCGAAGGGCGTTCCGGTAGTCGTTTTTAACTGGTGAGAACCTCATGCGAGCAGGAACAAAAATCGGCACGTTGGAATATTTTTGTCGCGGGAAACTGGCGTGCCGTTGCCCTCCGTGCCGTTACCACCCACGATAGTTCTAGGACCCGCGCTCTGGGGTCGCCCGAAACGCGCGAGTCTTTCGGGGGACAACACGCGAAATGTTGGCGGTGCGAGCGAGAGTGGGCAGTATAGTGCGGGGGCGGCGGGGGCGGCGGGGGCGGCGGCACCCGACCGAAAATGATTGTTCGCTAAACGTTTGCTGTTTATTCGCTATCGGTACGCGGAGGGTCGCGGAAGGGACGCTAACGGGTCGTCAGGG